TAATGTCTGTGGTGATGCAACGGAAAACCATGGCCGTATGGTTTCCTAGTTGTAAAACTGATTAATTATATGTTGTTGTTTTCATATTTTGCCAAATTAATGTAAATGTTTGATGTTAAACTTTGATTCTGTAAAATAAATGACCGCATTCATTTTGATGGGTCAAAGAAAAATGACGTCTCACGTTACATTTCATTGAATTCAATGCACGTTTTATCCAGTCCAGAAAGATGAGTGAACCCGTTTTAATTGATGAATATATCAGCATCTGTTCATCTACATATTGGTCCATATCATGTAACTAACAATTTTTGTCTCTCATGTAGAACAAAATAATTTTTAATGTATTAGAATATGACACACAAACATATGGAAATTTATAAAACTATGAACAATCAACATTGTGGCTCCAAAGTGGTTCTTTCATGAAAAATGCAAGAAGTCATCGACTGACAATCAGTCGTCACTTCACTGCTGATTCGGAGAGATCAGCTGCAAAATTGAAACAGCAATCATTATGCAAAACCATAACTGTTTCCAGTGATTAAGTTGATTAAAAGTACAAAATCCTCAGCTAAAAATGTACAGGATAAAAATAAAACTTGACAAGTTACATGATGCAATCCTATCCTGTTAAGAAATTGTCAATAATTATTAAGTAAAGGTGCTAAGTTTATATATGTATATATACATATATATATATATATATATATGTATATATATATATATATATATATATATATATATATATATATTTATGTATAGAAACATACACACATATGGAGTGATGACGTTATTATTTTAAATATAACACTAACTCGAGGTGCGCTCTACTAGAATGATTACAAATTAGGTAATCTAACAATGACATTGCTTCATAAAATATAAATCACTTAACCAAAACATAGATCTTCCAAGAAATTGGACCCCTGATGAGAATGAATCTATTTTATTTTAATCAACACACAGCAGTGCAAACATGAATATTTTCACTGCTCTGTTAATAAAAATAAATTAACACATCAAAAATCACAGACATCCCTTTCCCCCCAGCAAATGTATTTATTATGATAAGAAATGAATAAATGAATACCAAGTTTATTTGTTTGCTTGAAGTTTTATGCATTTAAATATAAATTTGCATATAAATGTCACAATTCAGCACCAAATAGATGTTCAAAATGCCACAAAAAGTTTTGGTGGGTTTGTGCTAAAAGCGAAAACCTTGTAAAAAAAAATCAAATTTTTTTAAAGCGTTCACAGCTTCATCCTTCAGCTTGACTTTTTGACAAAAATGGACTCAAAATTTACTTTTCTTTTTTCTTAAACAAAATGACATTCTGAAACACGACAATATTGTCTTACAGGTCATAATAAAAAATATGAATTAATTATGACAATAAAATGCCATGATCGTGGGATTTTGTGTTGGTTTTACTGTTTGTGTTCAGGTATTTCCTTGTTGTTTTCTTGTCTTGTTTACTCTGTATGTCATTATTTGTTGTTTTTCCCTCACTTGTTCTTGTGTTCAGCTCACATCTGCACTCCGCCTGCTCATCAGCCCAGGTGTTTCAACTCAGTAATCACTTTTGAATGTCCAGAGGACCAGATTGAACTTTTTTGGATCAGTAATCACTTGTTCTGCATATTTATTCTCCTGTTTGCTACCTAGGTTCATTTTCATTTACCATATTTTTCACTGTATAAATCACAGTTTTGTGCATAATTTGCATGCCCTGCAACTTATACGCTGAAGCGACATATTTATGGATTTTCCCCCCATATTTATAAACCAATTTTTGGCTGAGATGTGACCGTTTTCATTCATTCTGACTGAAATATTGAACACTACCAGTTTTCAGCCACTACATGGCAGCAGAGTTGGCAGCATGCCGTTGTATCACGTAATAGGGGAGTGGTGGCGCAGAGGTTACAAGATGGGCTTGTGACCGGAACGTCGCAGGTTCACCTCCCGGTACTGTCAACATCAAAATGT